TATACATACGTGACGGCACGTGTCCTAGAAATCCAAATCTGCGATTTCAAAAATAAAAAAAAATCCGCTGGTCTCGTTTTTCGGTTTTCGTCTTGCGAAGCAACACGTGTAGCCCGCAAGTTCACTGCGCATTGTGCAGCACTACAACAGCAAGTGGTAGCCAGACGGAATGAAATAACCTTCCGTGAACGAGGCGCGTAGAAAGGCATTTCTTTGCTCCTTTCGGCTTTTGAGGCTAGTGAACCGTAAGTTTGAACAACAAGCAAAAGCCAAAGAGGTACCGTAGACACACCGTTAACTTCGAAGCGGGCGGTCGAAGGCACGCGTGGGCCACTCGAATCGATTAAAAGCTCCTTTTTTTTTTTTTTCTTTTTCTTCTATACGTAATAGGATAAAATACTTTTTTATATACACATATAATAGTCGCCTGGTGTGGACGTTGTGCGCGAACGGACACTGTATGTACACACTTGCGCTTAGTTTTTTTTTTCTCTATCCTTCTTCGTCTTGGTATTTTTTTTTTTTTTTTTTTTTTTTTTTCTTCCTTGACCGCGTGGTGGTGCTTACAAGAAAAAAGTGTGTTAGTAGTGTATGTGTGGCAGTGGAGTCCGCGCGGGTGTTTGAATGTAAAACGGGTTAAGGAGTCGAGAGCATGTTTATTATACACCACCCAGTTTGCGCATTCTTATTGCAAAAACGATGGCCATTCGGGCCTTTGGTGTTCCACGAATGCTTTTTTACGTTTGTACGAAAGAGAAACAAAAAAGAATTAATAGCTCGTTTGCAGCGACATTTTTATAAATAACCATAGAAATAAACACGTGAGCTCATCTCGCCGAATATTAGTAAGATGCTTGCAGATGTTGCCGACGCATATCAGGGGAGGCTTCTGAAATTCAAGCCATTCGTGTATCTACCTATGCGTTTCTTCATCATCGATTTCCAATGTGACATAAAGAAAGAAAGAAAGAAAGAAAAAACTGGGGACTACTCTGAGCACAAAACGAGTCCCAACGTTGTCTATACTCCCGTACCGTTTTATTTTTCAATCTTACACGTTTCTATTGACGGAGCCAAAATACTTCTTAATGGGACCGGTATCGATACCCCACACGAGTTGTCAACCGAGAGAGGCGCCGATTTTTTCATTCTTTTTTGGGGTGGAAAAATAAAAACAGCGCAACGAGCGAGCCTACGACGACAAAACGATCGATCGAAAGGAAAATAAAGATCGGATCGCTTCCTCCGATAAATGCTAACTATATAATTGAGGTTTCGCCCCGATATGTAAATGATCTCGACACGTTTGTACCGATCGAGGGAAAGTGTTGTGAATAAGTAATCCGCGTCAAATAACCATATCCCTTTCCCTCGATCCCTTACCGATCGGCTCGTTACAATACGTATACGTACACGCTCCAACGTAGTATATTTATGTGTACATTAAAGGTAAAAAGCCTGCGTAGGAGCAGGAGCTCGGATGAGCATAGTTAAACGACGACGGGAAGAAAACAAAAGGAAAATCGAGGGGATGATGAAGAAGGTATAGGGGCTTTGTTGTGCAGTGGCATCATCATCATCATTATCGAGCGAACGGAAGCGAGGACACGGGTAGAAAAAGAAGAAGAGGAGGAGGAGGAGGAGGAAGGCAAGGATGAGAGAGAATAAGCGAAGGGCCGTGGATGGAGGAGATCGGTAATGAATGATGGAAATGGCAGAAGGAGAACGACGACCGGTTCTTTCTCTCTCTCCCTCGAGCGGCTGCAGAAGAAAGGAGAAGGAGGAGACGATGTGCTACCGTCCCGAGCAGAGTACACACACACACACACAACGGGGAGGGAGAGCGAGAGCCCAGGGGGCAAGGTTAACCCACAAGTCAACGCTCTTTACCTGTACGTAGTCTGTTCTCTCCTGCGTGATCTTTCTTTCGCGCTAGTGCAGCAACCATATAAATATGTATACGCACGGGGAGAAAGAGAGAAAGACAGGTGCGAGGGATCGCGAAGAGAAACTGATGTATTGGCTGCTCGCGCTAGATCTGTGTTTGACCAACCGGATGAATGACCGCGCACGTTTGCATCCACCGCGATCGTGGACGACCGAAGGAAATCAAAAGAGATAAGATATTAATCATGCCAAGAGGATTCAAGGTCCGAAAGAGGCATAAGAATTATAAATGAAAAACATCGCTAAGAAGAAGAGAGTCCATAAAACAAATGACGCTGGGGAGGGGGGGGGGTTGAAATTATGATCCACCATCGGTCGAGATCGGTATACGCGTTGTTTCATGAATTACGTACATACGACCCGGTGATGATCCAATTAATACGATGAATAGTAACAGGGCATAATTTTAACGGTACGCGTGGATATCATTATAATAATTCATGCGCATCGTAAAACAAGGTAACCATGTGTTATATACATCCAACCGTACAATAATCCCATCGATGTTAACTGTATAAATATTTAATTAATCGGAGCGAGACGATTTAATCTTGGTGTATCGGTAGTGTGAGGCGCGTATATAGCGATGATGGTCCATTAGCCGAGATCGGCACTGTATTGTTGGGTTGTCGAACCGATGTTGGATATAATATTCGGAGGCAAGGAGGTACCGATTGTAAATAAAAAAATCCGTACTTGGCACAAGGACGCGGTAGAACGGCGATGATGCTCGGAATCGGCGGGCCGGAGGATGAGGCGTAAATTCAAACAAACGATAAATCCTCGGAGCGGCGATCTCGCGTCGGGCCCGTCGCGAACAAGGGATCGGCAGTAGCGAGGAAATGAAAATTACCCATCCCCCGATGGCTATCTGAACAACGAGGTCTAGAGAGCGGGGCGAAGGGGAGAGGGTACAGCTCGCTCCTGGATATAGGTACATCTTGCACGGTCGCATTCCACAAGGGCTGGGCTCTATATTTGCGCGCGGCTGGATGTACCTACATATCCTGCGTGGACTATTTCTGTCCGCGGCCGGTTGCGCGCTATCTCGGCGCCGTTTATTCTCTGTTCCCTTTTTTTCCGCCCCCCCCCCCTCTCTCTTATATACATTTAGCCATTTACCCATGAGTAGGACGATTTAAACAAAAACAAAAAATTGTACATATGTATACGTAAGTAGACTCGGAGATTTTATTTTTGCCACTATGAAAACAATTGTTTCATACATATTTGGCCCATTGTTTGTGCCGTTTATTTAGCTAAACCCACCCTCGTGGTGATACCTGTATGTGTACCATATACCGAAAGGGACGGCAAAATTCATGGTGAAAACCGCGGTACAAGGGTAATACATAGGTACAGAAGAGTGCGTTTATCACTGACCACGGTAGAATGAAGATAGTTACTTATACGTATACAGGTATACATATAGTACAGTCCGGCTGTGCTTTTTCAAAAAGTCCCGCACCCCCTCCTCTTTCTTTCTGTTTCTCTTCTCCTCACCGTCCGTCTTTCGCCGGGTTTTTTTTTTTTTTTTTTTTCAGTGTTCCTCTCTGCAGCAGCACCACCACAGGTAAGTATATATACAGCCCCCTTCTCCCGGTGGCAATTCAAGAGCCGGGAGGAGGATATCTCTCTCTCTCTCTCTGTCGTTCCTTATCCTATACCAGCGCTCCTCCCGTTCTCCTTCATTCGCTAGTTTCTCGGCGCTCTTTTCCAACAGCAATATAGCGGGGCAAAGCAGCCATCGGGAGAGCATCATCTCTCCGGCTCACTCCGCGAAAATCCTCGGCGAGGAAAACAACTCTGCACCGAGGATGCCTCCGCTCGATGGTCCCTTCCGACCAGCAGGACACCCCAAGGACAGCCGTATCATCGCCCAAGCCGGCCTAGTGTGATATATACATACATACATCGATATATTTATATTTGTATCTCTTGTTGTTGTTGAACTTTGCGAATAGTGACGAGGAATAAAAAAAGAAAAAGAGGAAAAAAAAGGAGCAGTCGCGCTAGCACCTGTAGACATCCGAGGCAAGGTCACAGGGCCCTCTTCCTTCGGTTCTTCCCTCCCCTCGAGGGATGCTGGTGCCATTTTTTGCCGCTCGTTACGGACAGTGATCAATTCTCGCGCGATAAATTTTTTGACATTTTCGCCATCTCTCTCTCTCTCTCTCTCTCTCTATCTCTCTGTCTGTCTCTGTATCTGGCAAAGAAGCGTCGAAACCTTCATGTTGCACTGAGAGCTGCTACCACTTCTGGGAGGACGAGATCCAAAAGCGTGAGTATATTTACATGATTTTATTGAGAAAAGGAAGGAAAAAAAGTGTTTGTTTCAATGGGTTTTTCGAGGGACGTTGGTCTTTTTTTTTTGTTTTTTTTTTTGTTTTTTTTTTTTGTTCAAACTAATATTTCACGGTTGGGGCGACTGCGAAGCGCGCTTTTTAGTTTCACGCTGCGACGGGCTTTTTCTACTTATATGCTTGATCCTCGACGAGGATCGCACGCTATATTTATGTTTGTATACGCGTTGGGCGCTCCGCAACCCTCGACAGACAAGATATATTTTTTTTTTTTTTTTGTCTCCGTATAGTATTTTCGTACTTACTGTCACTTTTATCGACAACAGGTGCATTCGATACATTATTGGAATGTCGATATTTATCTCAACGATGAGACAACTGTTTGTTACGGGCGTACGTTGTAAATGTAAGTAATTAAAATACGACCTCTCGAAGACTCGGTTTAAAACATCATCCGCGGCATTGGCCTGATGATAATATATGCGCGTGGTTCTACCATAACTCGTATAAGTACTACCCTTACACGATATGCGTGACCATCGTCCGTGACGATTCCTCACTCTGCCATTAATTTCTCTCGCATAACGGAGCTCAAACTTTAACGCACAAGTACGCGTATTTTTTTTTTTTTTTTTTTTTTTTATCATTACAACAATGGTTACGTTTTTATAAAATTTATCCTTTGTTTTTTTTTAAATTTATAATTTTATACGGAAAAAAAAATGGTAAACGTATCGAATGCAGGTCAGTATGACACCGAAACGACGACCGCTGCCGTGTCTGGCAGTTGTACTGCTTGTCTGGGCTAATCTAAATTCGACGGGCGCTTCGCCTGCGGCCTCGGCCCCGTCATCGGCGTCGTTCTCAACGACGTCATTTCCGAAGAGAACCCCAGCACCAAGGTAAGCCAAACAGGAATGAGAGAACGAAAAAAAAAAAAAAAAAAACGAGAGAGAGAAAGTGAGTGTGCCAACATTGCTGCGCATGCAGGCTCAAGCTGTACATGGCAGGCGACGAGAGCGAAAAAAAAAAAAAAAAAAAACAATCCAACACCCGTTCCATTGGCAAAGAAACCGTGTACTCGTTTGTAGCCCTTTTGTCGCAATACCACAGAGCCGGGCCGATCAAGCGCAAGACGATTTTTTACCGTTCGGTCAGTTCAATAGAGCGGGCTCCCACTCGCTCGAACGTCAATTCACTGTAAGCGACGTGGGCAAGTAAAAAAAAAAAAAAAAAAAAAAAATTACGGTTCGCTTGCCCCTTGCGGTTTTTTGACGCGCGCGTCCACGCGTGAGATTTACACGTTTAACGATAAAAATCGGTATGGATAAAGAGATACATTGAAAATATTCAAATGGCAGTTTAGCTCACAGTAGACTTGTATGTACAGTGTGTTCTTTGCCTCGGGTGTATACGAAAAAAACACGTACATGTAAGGTATATACATATATATATATATGCGTATAACCGATGATCGGTCTTGCTGCGCAGTGGTGTGATAATCGACGAGGCAGGCGCAAGGAGGCACTCGGCCGGTCAGACGGAGGTGCGCGAAAAAACACGGCCCCGCGAGCCGCCCGGCTCACCGGTCAAGCTCTTCATGCCCGACGAGTTCCAGTTTTACACGCTCAACGCCAATGGCCAGCTCGTGATGAAGCAGATGACCAAGCAGGAAATCCAGGGCATGATAGCAGTCGGCGCTGGCAACGCCGGCCTGTCCGACGATCACAGCTACCACCCGAGCCAGCTGCCCGGCACCGAGCCCAAGGTACGTCTTTCTTTATTTCATCGCTGCGATCGGGAATAATGTCCCGTATGGACCGTGCACTCGATTCCGCAGTATTTAACACGTTTTTTGTCTTTCATTTTTTACTGGAATAAAATCATGCATACTTTCCAAGTTTTGTCTGGCAGTGGCTTTTATACAAATTCTCACTGGTTACGATATCTAATTTATCGATTACTTCATCTTCACTACTTGAAAAAAAAAATTCGCACATGATTTTGCAGGTTTCCGATGTCGTGCAGAATGTTCAGAAGGTTCTAAAACATGAACTTAACAAGCCAACTCAAGCTCCTGCCTCGGAATCATCAATACCGGGCAGTGTCAACAGCCAATGGACCAACATGCTCGCGTACATCTTGTCAGGTGGTTCGGTGGACCAGCAGCACGTAGCTCAAGACACCAACATGGTGTTGCCCGCGCTAGATGCCGATCAGACTTACGTCGACGTGATACCGTTGCACAACGAAAAACCCTCGGAAACGGAGAACAACTACATCTCCATGCAATCTGCTCTGAACGAGGAACAAGAAATCAAACTGATCACACCCAAACCGTCGACAAGTTTTACAAGCGGAAAGCCGTTATCGCTCTTGGGAAACATGGCTTTGGACAACGGCATATTGGGAGGACAAGAAATCCATTCTCCGCCAACAAAGGCCAAACCATACCGACCTACGACTACGCATACGTACCACAAGTACACGACTGCCAAACCAATTGTACCATCCAGTGTGAAGGATAACGCTTTTAATTTGAAAAACTCTTCGGCGAACAAGCCAACGCTTTACATACCTTTGTCGGTGTCTCCGTCCCTTTTAGCCGATACGCAGAACAAAGGCAATTACGGACAATCGAGTAATTCCGACGTCGCTCGACCGAGTAATCAAGAAAAGAATACCACCACTTCGCACAAGATTACCGGCCCTCCGAAAAAACCAACGACTTACGTTTACTCGGATCAGCCGGGTTTCACGAGGCTGCCGATGATCCAAGTCCCGGTCATCGAAGCTGATAAACTGAGCACCTCGACTCAACGCACGAACCAACACCAAACTCCCATGTTCGAGATATTGCCAACTATTTCGCCAGGATCCGTAACTAGTTCCGCAACCACGACGAAAGAAGCATCGCATCCGTCGAAACTCAACTTGGGACCCATTGGTGGCTTCAAGAAGCCTGAAATGACTCCCAAGCCGTCGACGCAATTCCGTCCACAGTACGAACCAATAACCAGATCATCGACCGCTGCGAGCGTATTACCAACGTCTTCGTACGATGCCAAAACGAGTACGGCCCAGGCATCCTCGCCCACGTATAGACCTGTCTACGAGCCACCAACTAGACCCGGCGCCACGAAAACTCCCACGTCTACGAATGGACCAACGACGAAACCAGGTGTCATCGATTCTGTGTCTTCCACCATGTACCGCCCATCACACGAGACCAAACCAAGTTCCGTAGCTTTTAAGCCAACGTCTTCCTTCCACTCGACGTACGAATCTTCGACCTTGCCAGGCGACAGATTCAAAGTGACGCAAGATCCAAGCCCTACGTATTACACGACTGGAAAAGCTTCCACGGTGTCTGATCTCGAGACGAAGTTCATCAGCACCCCAAGTGGGTTAAAAGTGACGGAGTATCCTGAAAAGGTGTATCAAGCGACGAAGGAAGAATCGCCTCCAGTGATTGAAATTGTGACGAAAGTAAGCGTTGAAAGCAGTGTGTCCGAAGTGATAAATTCATCCAACGGTGTGCGAAAATCGACTGTTAAGAACAAGGGAAATGCAAATTCGGTTGACGCCATTGAAAAAGAGCCTGATTCCGAGACAACGAATAAAACTAAAAATGGTCAACCTTCGTTTAATAATAGTACTTCAGTTGTCGAAAGTGAAACCTCAACTGTGTTAAATACGATAGATAATGATGATAAAATTATAACAATCGCGTACACAGGTTTGCCATCGAAACTACCGGAAAAAATATTCGACTCGACTGACAAAAAAACTAGCAATGGTTACGATACAACGGCACCCAGTAGAAACGATGAAGAAAGTGAAACGCCCACCTTGTTGTATTATAATACGGAAAAAACGGTTGCGACTGACTCAAATGTATCGGATGAGCAATTGCTCTTGAAAACCGAAAGTTACGTACTGGATGAAGACTCGTCGACGCGTCCAACTTTGGCAGTACAACCTCAAGATTCGAAACCAGAGAACACCGACTATCACACCGTACTACAAGAAGTCACAACAAAAGAACCGGAAATCATGTTTAAACAAACAGACAGCGTACCGGCCGAAACAACGGAAACAATTGTTCCAAGCTTTGATGCGAGTTCACAAAAATCTCCCGTTACCATTGATAAACATGAAGAAACCGAAACTACGAAATACGTACAAATTAATCAAAAGGACGGTACAGATGCACCATTCGAAGCGACGACAAAACAATTTGTTCCACTGGATGGGAGCACTACTGATTATAGTACGTTAAATTATGAGTCGAGTGACGTGAAAATCTTTGAGAAAAAACCATCTTCCATCGTAACGGAAGACACAAGTAACTATAAACAAGAAACAACTGTCAAGCCTCTTAAAGATAGCACTACTTATAAACTCGGTGATGAGGATTCGACGAAAATGTACGATTTACCCATTGACACGATCGTTAATTATTTGACTGATCAGTTAAACGATAAAAAACCGGGAATTCTGATTTCCGGAAGTAATAAGATTTTCGCAAATCAAGAAAATTCACCGACGCAAGGGCCGTTAGAGAAAGAAAATACAGCGCAAAAAGATACAATTGCCGATAGCGATGATAATTATCAATCTACAAAAGTTGTGACAGAAAATTCAGATGAGTTCAAAAAACAACATTCTACCACTTCAATGGTAGAACAAGATGACCCTTTGAAAATAAATTCAACGAAAGAAAATGAGGTTACGCCGTTTTACGAAAAAATGGAAACCATTACGCAAGACAGTTTTTCGATTGAAAACAAATTTGAAGAAAGCACTTTATCAACAAAAGAAAATGAAAAAGGGACTTTGGAAGAAGAAGAAGAAATTTCAACGGTGAAAGTTATTCCCGTTTACGATGACGGGACGATAATGTATACCTTACCCTCAGACGTTCCGAGCAAAACAACTTTAAATCTAGCACCTGCCACTAAACCTGTTCAATCTAATGATGGACCTATCACTGTTTCCTCATCCAGTTATTCGCCCGACAGTAATTTCCCTACCACATATTTACCAGAACTGCAAGAAGCTTTGAACAATTATATGAAAGAACATTACGATCCAAAATATTCCACAACAAGTAAATACGACGACATTCCATACTTCACCACCATTGTCAACGAAGATTCGTTAGATTATAAAAAAAAGTTACCAACTACACCTACGATAATTTCAGACCACTCAACAACTACCGAATACCAGAAAATTTCTCAAAAACCACAAATCCCTACATTCTCAGCTGTAACGCACAATGAACAAAATACAGAATCATCCATTTTATCTTCAACGCCAGTAAGCAAAATATCCGAAGGTGTTATTTTAAAAGAAAATTCAGCTACAGAACAAAAGACAATAATAGATAATTCGGTAGGTAATAAAAGTAACATCGAAACACCAATTATTTACTTGGAGTTGACGAGCTCAAAGCCTGAAAAACAAAGCATGCCCAACCAAAAGAACAAAGAGTACATGACAAATTCGTCATTAACTAGGATAAAAACTCAAAACCCACTTCAAGAGGTAGATAAAATAATATCAGGGGCACCAGCTGTCACGAGCACTCCAGCGACTGTACCGTACACTTTGTCCAGTGACAATCCAATGCCCAACAACATTGCGAGTGGTCTCATAGCCGGATATCCAACGTACTCGCAAGGCCAACCTATGGCAGAATACATTGCAACTACTAAATCTCACGAAAGCATCGAACCCAGCAATTTGAGTACAACCAATAAACCAATGGAATTGCAAACAGAAGAATATACAGAAAAAGATGTTGAAAAAACAACGTTGAAACCTTTAGACATTAAGAACGAGAGTATTACAAATTTACCACCACCTTTGGAATATCCTTCCACAACCGACAACTCCAAAATGTCCAATCAAACCGAAGAAACGGATGATCAGATAAATGATTCGTTCAATCCACCTTTGGAAAAACTAAGCGACTTGATCAACCAGTTGAACGATTACTCGGTGGCAACGACTATTGTTCCTATGGATAATTTTGAAGCATTTTTTAACGATAGCAGTGCGACCCCGTTTGAAAGTTTAAACAAAACGTTCGTTGAACCCGAAGGTAGCACGTATGTCATGCTACCAACTTTATCAGCGAATTACACCACGGAACCTTTTCAAAGTAGTACAAAATCTCTCGCATCAAGCGCATTGGCCGACATCTCGAAAAATATCGAAACCACAACTCAAAGTATTGTAAAATCCGAATCCAATTCCACCGTCAGATCGACAACTTTGAAAAAAATCATCACCGAAAAATCTCATACGACATCGACGCGTGTAACAACCAAAGGGCCAATCGAGAAAGTTCAATCGACGATAGACAAATCTGCCGGTAGGATAAACCTGGAAGAAGAAAAAATCAAATTGCAACAGACGAAGCCAACCGAACCCTCGAAATTTCCCGTGAAAAATAAATTCCACTATACCACAAGGAGACCTGTCAACGACGGCCACTCGAGTTATACGAGAAAAGCGACCAAGCCTCTGATAAAACCAATTACAACGCCAACGACCACCACCACTGATCGCGCGACTACCAAGTCAACGGATGATTCAAAGGAAAGTACCGTTAAATGGACGCTTATTCCTCAAAACGTGACAGCCGAGGAATCAGGAGAACTCGTGAGTAACGCGACAAACGCCAAGGACGACAACTTGGTTCAAAATTCGCCAATAGTGCCTCTCGATCCCTCGTTGGGTGAAATCGGCCTCGACCAGAGCAACAAGGCTCTTGACAAGGATGTGGCCGAATTTCTAAACTTGTGCAACGAAATATCATTTAAATTCTGGAACTTGGCCAACAACGGCCTCACCTCGTCGAGATCCGTGACGCTGTCGCCGTTCGGAATGATCAGCACCCTCGCCATGATATTCTTTGGCGCGAGAGGTACCACGTCCATTCAAATGAACGACATTTTGAAACTGGACGACGTAGTGACGTTCAATCCTCATTTGGTATTCCAAAACATCACCGACACCGTCACCCTGGCCCGAGGTCAGGGTATCGAAAACGCCGCTTTCGTAAGGGTCCTGTTCGCCGATAGGCTCAAGGTTCGCAGGATAATGCCGTTCTACAAAGAACAAGCCCAACAATTCTACGAAGGCGCGGTTGTGGACATCAACTTCTCCACGGCAGGTGACATTTTGAGGAGGCGAACGAACTGGCTGATCAGGAAGCAAACCGGCGGCAGGATCAAGGATTTCGTGAAGTCGCACACGGTGCCGTTGCGGTCACCGCTGACCGCCCTGTCGGCCAACGTTTTCCAAACGAGCTGCGACGGTCCGGACGCCAGTTCCGAGGGTCGGGACGGCGAGATGTATTTCGCCGTCGCGCAAACGGTCAAGCAGCGCAAGTTGGTGCCGATACCGGCTGTCGTTTGGAAATCTGGTGTGTCCGCCGGGTACGAGCCGAGCTTGGATGCGACCGCGATAGCGTTGGGAGACTCCAAGAGGCCCGTGTCCATGGTCATGGTCATGCCGGGGCAACAAGGTGTCACGGCACCCGGGGACAATTTGGAGAAACTCGAGAGCAGGCTTTTCGGTGGGTCCGGAGATGCGCTGGAGAAACTGCTCAAGGTCGTCATACCGCGAAGGGTCGAAGTTCAAATGCCCAAGTTCAGCCATCGGTCGATCATCAACGTGACGTCGGCTCTGAAGAATATGGGATTCGAGCAGTTGTTTATTAAAAATGCCGACCTCAAGGGTATCAATGGAGCTGGACACGATCTTTTCTTGGCAGACATGATACAGGTATATGCCCTACATTATTATCGATAACTAGCTTGATCATTGTTTCTTTGACCTTTTCATAAATCATTTTTTTCGCGTATTTTCAGATGAACCTGTTCTGCACGTGTGGGGATGAAAATAAATTGGGCAACCGACACTTGAGCGAAACTTATCCTGGAACATCGTCCAGGCACACAAGGACGTGGGAATTACTTCATAAGAATAACAATAATAGTAGTACTAGTAGTAGTAATAATAATAATAATAATGGGGTATATGATAGTTTAGATAATAGGGAATCAGACAATTCCGAAACTAGTGAATGTGATTCTGAAGATTCCGAAGCCAAGTCGAGTTCAGAAAACTCGAGCAATGACGGAGTGAGTCAACAACCCGGAAAACCGGACCTTGACAGAGTTAATAGTTTGAGGCAAAAAATGGACAAGAAAAGGATACGATGGTTTATGCCGTCAGGACGGAGACGATGTCGAAATCGTAGACAAACCGAGCCTGAAAAATCGAGAATGAAGGTAGACAAGCCTTTCTTGTACTTAATAAGACACAATCTCTCTGGACTGATACTTCACATAGGTCGATTCAATCCCAAGAGTCAATCTTAACTGATATGACTAATTAGTATTATATCAACATCCTGTATCAAAGAATAATTAGTTGCTATCTAGGTTTTGAGAAAGTTATTTTTTAAGTTTAATACGCGATGATTATTTTAACATTTTATCAACTTTGTTTGATACGAAATATTTAGGTTATCATGTGTAAGTTAGCTGTAAATTATTTATTATGCATTTCCTTGCTAATGAGCTCAAACGACTTAATTTATTAAAAATAAGTTCTTTTAAATACGACTATGTAGCATTAAGATTTTTAATCGTAAGTGACTCATTGTAGTAAGATATGTACTGACTTTTCTGTAAAACTTAGTATTTTTAAGGACAGCGAATAATGTCAACAAATGTGTAAAGTAAATTATAGAAGCATAATTGTAATTGTATTGATATGCGGTTATAGATGAAAATATAGTATGATTTAACAGGTTAAAGATGTATTTATAAAATATCGTAGTGATATTAAAAATAAATGATAATACGCCCTCAATTTAAATAAGTTTTAATATATTTTAAGAGACCTTCAAAAATAAAAAATAAAAATTTATTAAAAACCTACGTAAGTTTTTATTCCGTTGTAGAACTTTAATTGAATGTCTGGCTATTACCCAATTTAAGTGATTTTACAAAGACAATTAGGTTTCAATTTTACACTTTTCTGATGTTAATTATTACTAAAAACGAGTACATGTAAAATTATTTTTAAAAACCTCATTGTGAACGTTTATTGATGTTAAGGTGAGTAAAAAATAAGGTTTGATAGGATACAAGTGTGTTCAGAACATATTGAAGTGATAAAAAAAAAAACTTATATTGTAAAAATTTTATGAACATCCTTAATATAAATATCTTTTAATTGTTTCAATGAAAGTTCAAAAAGAATAAACTAAATGAAAAGTATCTTTAAAACTTACACATCTTAGTAATGCACAAACACGAGAATCATACAAATTTTTAACAATAGATTCGTTATTGGCCCGGACCTGAGAGTGATTTGTCCATAAACTTTTTTTTAGCAAAACACAACCACCACTTACTTGGCTTCCCATCACTGCCATAAACTTTATCAATTAAACGAAGTCCTGTCTCTTGTCTTATTTGTAACAAATACTGTCGCATGGTATCTATAAAATAATACATTATTTATTATTGCTTAATGTTTTAAATAAATATTATTTAAATAATTTTTTAGTACCAGCTTCGGTTGCATCATTGGGCTTGGCATATACAGAGTTTAGTGGAAAGCCTTGATCTCCAGGAATATCAAACTTGGATATTGCCAGAGAGTACATTTCGTTTGGAGCTTGATTTTGACTAATGCACTTTTGCAATTTCTTTAGACATTCAGTAATATATAAAGTTATGTAAATTAATAATCTATCTGCTTCACTCTAAAAACAAAACGTAATGTATTGGACATTCGTTTGCTTGTAATTAATAATATGTTTGGCGAGAGATCCATACCTTAATTTCATACGTCCTAAAGAACACGTTGGCTTTGAAAAAATACAATGCTTCATCTATAATGTCCATCTCCTCGTTGTTTAGATGAGGATCAGCTGGTCCTCTGAATGTCGTTTTTAGGGGCAGCAAGGCCATGTTACCAATGTTCTTTGTTTTTTTAGTAAAACTAGAGTGATAAGCCTAAAAACAAAAACATACAAATCTATAATTCAGAATGAAAAACTACGCCAAAACTGCTTTTATCATTAGTTTAAAATATTTTCACTCCTTTCAGCATAGTATTTATCATTATGAAGGATTACTCATTTCAATTTTTTTTCATTCATCATTAGTATCATTGTCAACAAACTTGGCCAACAAAGTTACTGTTACTTAAAAAGATGACGCATAACCTACGTGTACAGTAAAAATCCTTGATATACTTACCGGCATTTTGTTGATGGCATACAAAAAATTTGACTAAGTTTTATAGGTGTGTCACTTGAAATCCGAATGAGTAAATTTCACTTGTTTGGCACTTGATATTTGATACTCAATCTGCAAAAGCACAGGGTTCTAAGTTTTAACTTCTGTTGGATGGATAATGGATTCTTTGACAAGGATATCAAATTATTAGTGATAAGAAAATACTGATAGTAAGTACCTTGGTACTCACTAAGTACTTCCTTAATTAACTGCAGTGACACTTTGTCGCTATCACTAAAAAGAGTGACTAAGGCAGTCAAGAGTCAAGACACAACCAGAGATGAGTAAGTAGATCTACCTATACTCATCTCTGACACAACTCTCAACTCTAATGCAACTCTCAACTCTCATTACTCTCAACTCAACAGTCAACACTATGGAGTACTTATATAGGTATTGTCAATTGTCATATTTGTCATCGTGTATTAGTGTATCGGCGCCATCTAGCGTTGCGGATTTTGTAAATTTTTTTTTTATTATATGTGTAATATAATGCATAATATTATGTATAATATAATGCAACAATAATAATTTTTACCTTGATAACGAGCTCTTTCATACTCCTCAACGGAAAAATTGTACTTGAACCTTGAAAAAATACCATAGGCACAAATTTGAAGAATTTATGAAATGCCTGTTTGTTGTTTTTACACTTGCCACCATGCACAACTTGCAACTTGCAACTTACCCAGGAAGATCGTCAAGATGATAAGATAAATTAATCCATGAGTCATCTAAAAATCTCTAAGTATAATTGTGCATAATTACAATGGGGTACATGATATTTTATGTGATTGTATGGTGAATATACTTTAAACAACATCTTAAATCGCGCACATAATAGCTAGTTCGAAGATCATTTATCACTCTTGTGATCAGAGCTTTTTAGATGACGATGAAATTGGTCATCTTATTGTTACAATGATCTTTCTGCCGCGCAGAAAAGAGATAGAAAAGTCAGCTGCCATACAGAGACAACATATATATATATATATGAAGATTCCGAAGCCNTCAATTAATTAGTTATACATATATATATATACATAGGTGTACGGTATTAAGTTCTGCGGTAAAGAGTGTGATCATGTGTAAATAGATGTAATTAGATCGTAATAAACGAACAACAAAAACATACAAAGGTTCCATGATTTTCTAAAAATCTGTGCCCAAGTATAGGCAAAACTACCACTGGATCGTATGCATCGCGTCGCGCGTCCCAATCTTATCTGTCAACTGGGTTGACGTGTGTTTTCGTGTGGCCATAAGTCAAGTTGCGTGCTCCAGCAGCTGTTAACTGGTCCTGGAGTTTTTTTTACGATTTAGCTTAAACAAAATCAGCCATAATGGTTTTGGCAGATTTGGGTCGCAAAATCACATCGGCATTGCGCTCGTTGAGCAATGCCACCATCATCAACGAGGAGGTAACCTATCACTTGCGTCAACCAACATTGATTGTTTTTTTGGCCTCTATTTGTTTAATCAATTGATGATCCTTGACTGAATTTTTTTTTTTTTTTCTTTTCCTTACGTAGGTGCTAAATTCCATGCTAAAAGACATATGCGCGGCGTTACTCGAAGCTGACGTTAATATAAGGCTAGTGAAAAGTTTGAGAGAAAATGTTCGCACGGTCATTGACTTTGATGATATGGCTGGAGGTCTCAACAAGAGACGAATGATACAGAGTGCCGTTTTCAAGGAACTCGTCAAAGTAAGTTTCATCGTTATGTGTTTCTTTTCAATTTGATTCCTTACTTTTGAAAATTCGATTACGTACAGTATTGAAATTTACTAAAAACACCACTGCAACTTTGTCATATGATTTGTGGACTTTGTTTCTGATTAGCTCATAGATCCTGGAGTTAAAGCATATCAGCCAATCAAAGGTCGACCAAATGTTATTATGTTTGTTGGTTTACAAGGTTCGGGCAAAACAACGACATGCACAAAGTTAGCATATCACTATTTGAAGAAAAATTGGAAAGCTTGTCTGGTTTGCGCCGATACGTTTCGTGCTGGTGCTTACGATCAAATCAAACAAAATGCCACAAAAGCGAGGATACCATTTTATGGAAGGTATTACATTTTACTATTGTTATGATTTCTGCGGGTTGTTTCGTTTAAAAAATTATCCGTAATTGTATTTATCATTTTTTTTAGTTACACAGAAGTTGATCCTGTAGTGATAGCTCAAGATGGTGTGGATATGTTTAAAAAGGAAGGATACGAAATAATTATTGTTGATACAAGTGGTAGACACAAGCAAGAGGAGTCTTTGTTTGAAGAAATGTTACAAGTGTCAAACGCCATTGTATGAAATAATTTTCTTCCATAACTTTATCTATTACCGCACTTAATGAAGCTTTGAATAATTAAAATTTAATTGTAATAGCAACCAGACAACATTATATTCGTGATGGATGCAACAATAGGTCAAGCTTGTGAATCACAAGCCAAAGCTTTTAAAGAACGTGTAAATGTAGGCTCTATTATTATTACTAAGTTAGATGGTCATGCCAAGGGTGGTGGAGCACTTTCTGCGTTAGTAACAGATTTATAAGTATAAAATAGTTCCAAGAAAAATATTTTGACAAATTTTTTTTATGATTTTTATAGAGTTGCTGCTACGCGTAGTCCAGTTATTTTTGTGGGAACAGGAGAGCACATTGACGATCTCGAGCCATTTAAAACAAAGCCATTCATCAGTAAATTATTAGGTATGGGAGACATTGAAGGGTTGATTGATAAAGTCAATGAACTCAATTTGGATGACAATGAAGAATTATTAGAGAAAATTAAACATGGACAGTTCACACTACGTGATATGTATGAACAATTTCAAAATATCATGAAAATGGGTCCATTTTCACAAATTATGGTACTACTAAATCTTTTATTACTGAAAGTGGACAAAAAAATTTTATATATTTTTAAGATCACTTTTTGCATTAACAGGGTATGATACCGGGGTTTAGTCAAGATTTTATGTCCAAAGGAACCGAGCAAGAATCAATGGCTCGTCTTAAAAAGTTAATGACTATCATGGACAGCATGAATGATTCAGGTTTGTATGACAAAAATAAATTAAAATTCGAATAAATTTTCAACTTGAACTGTTATTATTAATTTTTAGAGTTGGATAGCAGAGATGGCGCAAAACTGTTTAGTAAACAGCCAGGTCGAATCGCAAGAGTGGCTCGAGGATCTGGTGTTACAGAGAAAGATGTTAAAGATCTGATAACTCAGTATACCAAGTTTGCAGCGGTAGTGAAAAAAATGGGTGGAATCAAAGGCTTATTCAAAGGTGGCGACATGACTAAGAATGTCAACTCTGTTCAAATGGCAAAACTTAATCAACAAATGGCAAGAATGATGGATCCACGTGTTCTGCATCAAATGGGTAAGTAGCTTATTATAAACATGAATAATGAAGAAAATTAATAGATTAGTTTTTTATTGCATCAAATTTTTCGTGTTTTACAGGTGGTATGACAGGTCTTCAAAACATGATGAGACAATTACAACAGGGTACAGCTGGAGGTTTAAATAATTTGATGGGAGGTTTTGGTGGACAATCTTAAGAAAACCAATATTTTACTGACGTTAGGAAGTGCTTGTCGATCGATTTATCAGGAACAATTGAATCCTATATTGTATTCTGTAAAAGTTGAAAATATAAATTTATACACATAAAATATAAATAGCAACTAGTATGTAAACAGATTAAATGGATGGAAGAACGAATGATACTTTTATATTATAAGTCTGGGGTATAAATGAAAATTTTTGTTATCAACATGTTGTCTTCATCTTTTTCATTACACATAAACCATTGATATCCTACTGATAAATAACAACGTATCAAATGATCCATTTTTAAGGATGCTGCTCTCCTACAAATCCCATACTCGACATGGCACAAGAATTAAACTGATATGGGGAACGATATCGGTGAACATGTCTTTTGATTTGTTTCTAATTGTAACTTATAAGTCTGTAGGTTTTATTAATATTATTATTTTATATTTAATTAAGGAATTTTAAAGATAAGGATCCCATTAAGAGTTGAGATTTATTTCGAAAGAGGTATCAGTAAAAGTGTGCGGAAGTCCAAACAACACCGTTTGTAAGTATACGCAAATAGTAAGACCGTGATCAAACGTTCGAAACTATTAAATTATTTATCACCTAAACGAGAATTTCACAAAAAAATTTAAGAATTCCATCATCAAAAATTTATCTAGGTACTCATCCGTATTTACTAAATTTTTGTTGTGAATTTGTGATCCACTACTGTGATATATTTTTTGTAGACTAGGGTTGTATAGCGTAAAAAATAATTACCCAAAATCCCTTCATCTCTTCCTCACGTGACTCACGTCTCTCTTAACTCTTAACTCTTTTTTTTTTTACATAATTTATAATTATGAAAATGTCTCCTGTCCTGATCTAAATTTCCCATTGTTGGTGATAACAGTCCCTTCTTTATCGTTATCGATTTTATATATTTTTTTCTTTTGCAGGCAGCAAACAAAGAAAACAAAATCGACAAATCTCTGCGAAGCAGCATCAGTTGTTTATTAAAACTCGATCTGGAATTTCTCCTACGCATGTATTTGATGTACTTCGATACACTTGCCATTGTGCGTGAAATATGGATCAGTACTGGGTTGTGTAAAAAAAAGAGACCCAACTAGAAGAACAAAAAACTAAGGACGATAAGAGGCTATTAACCAAATAGCCGACAATAAAACAGCTTGTGCTTATTTTGTATGCCCCAATAAAATAAACATCAATGGGTGAGTAATTTAAAAGTTTTTTTTTTTTTTTTTTTTTTTATAACGACCTTACCAAATTTATTAAACCGAAAGTATATAGTGTTTACTTTTCTTTAAATGTTAACTTTAAGTGTCTACTAAGTTTGTTCAGAGTTACCCAATAAGTCATTTAATTTTGTCATCTTACGTATGGGTTGATGTCTTATTTTTACAAGTAAACTTTACTACAGACAATAAGATGAAGTTATGTATGTCTTCTTAGAAACTGATATATAATGGTGCTCAACTCTAAAACTTAAGAAAAAAAGTGATGGTAAATTTTTATTGTCGATCATAAGAATCTCACCTTCCCACATCCTTTTTGCATCCGTTTTTACGACCAACGGTCTGCATTCCTTTACATGCAAAAGTTTTTTAGAGATTTTTATTAAATCCCTACTTTTTAGAGTACTTTCATCTCTGATAATCTTGAATTGATTTAGAAGTGATAGTATGAATAAATCTTACAGATACAGGACTTGAAACTGGAAACGAGTCAAATAATACCACCATTGTTGTACCTGGCCAATTCATTTCTTGTGCCATGTCCAGTATGGAATCTGTAAGAGAGCCAAAATTGGAACTTCTTTTTAAGAATATGCCAAAAACAAGTGATGCACTCACTGTCGGAGGCTCCAAAGATGAATTTGCAATGGATTATCCTTTTGTATATCAACCAGCAAGTGAGAATCTCAGTCTCGACAAAATTCCTTCGACAGATTGTAAGGAGATTTGTGTGTTCAAAAAACCTTCTCATTCCATGGCAGATCATTCAGTAACTATGAATTTAAATGATACTATGTAAAAATAGCGTTAATATTTCCATTTCCGCATGAAAAAACTAGTATAAGATTTATTATGATAAGTTCAAAACTTATTCCGATTGCTGTGCAATTACCACACAATTTTACAAATGTTCCGAATAGAAATTGATTATTTTCCTGATTAATACTTGAAATAATACTCCTAATTTAATAATTAACACTTTATATATACACACACACACTTCATTTTTAAAATGATGATTGAAATAGCAGCATTATACATCATAATTACTAAGATAATTCCTACTTTTATTTCTTTTGCACATGTCACGTTCTCATTAAATACCTAATTCATTGTTTTTTTAAGTTGATGGATATAAGGTCCTTTATTAAGTTCAATGAGGCCACTCAAATTGCTCGTGAGTATTTTAACTAATTATTTTACAAAAAGTATTTTTTACGTAAATTTTTATAAAAATTAATAAATAATGGTTATTTTCAGATACCCTTCCACGCGAAGAAATACATGATTTTTCTCCTAAAATTCGTAGGAGACTTTGTGGAAATGATAAAGTGAATTCCTGGAGCCATGATAAAAACAGGCGTTTGAAAAAAATGCGTATTGCTGTTACTACAAACAATACTCAATTGCTGAAGGACATATTAAGTACTGGAGTCTCGCCCAACTTCACTGATGAATCACAGCGAACGCCATTGCATTTGGCAGCAAGCAGGTATATCATTAAGCTACAGACTAGTTTGACAAAAAACGCCTACACGACAACAGCCACACCATTTGAGGCTTGGTGTACAGGCGCGAGAAAGGTCCTGTGAGTATTCCCTTAACGTGAGCAAATAAGAAAATATATTTAATTTGCAAAATAAATTAATTAACTTTCGAACGCAACTTAAATTAATTTTGCGAAATAGACACAGTTCCTCACTTGCTCTTTTCAATTAAGGGAATTTGTCCATAGAACCTTTCACCAAGTTCTGCCTCATCGGACTGATCGGGCGTGTACTTAGTTAAAGATTCTGGTGAACAAAACATTGTCATTTTCAGGGGATACACGGAAATAGTAAAAATTTTGCTCGCACATGGAGCGAATCCAAACATGAAAGACACAATTGGTAACACGCCTTTGCACTTGGCTGCGGTGACGAGTAAAACCGAGATTGTGGATTTATTGCTGAAAGCTGGCACAAACGTAAAGTCGACCGACCATTTCGGCAATAATCCATTGGACCTGGCAAAAACAAAGGCGCGTGTGCTTAAAAATTGCAAAGTTGGCGATATCGGCAACATCAAAGTAGAGGTGGAAAATGTCATTAGTTTACTGAAGCTCCATCTACAGAGATCAAATAAAGTGGATGCTGAAAACATGACGGCAGTCGAAGAAGCGTTGAACAAAATCTGCTCACGGCTGTCGTTGTCCAACTCTACCGATCAGATTCAAGATAGTCTGAAAAATTTGTTGAGTAATTTGGAGTCGCTTAGTTTGGTTTGAACGAGTCTCCTCACCGTTATCCAGATTTCCTCTCTTGTGCAAGATTGCCAGCAATTATTTTAAATTATCGAATTGAAAAAAACGCTCGGCTCTTTGAATTGCGAAAAAGTACTAGATACTGAAAAAGTGATGTAATACTTGTATGGAGCTGGCGAATTGGCGCAAGCTCAGTGCAGTAGTAATATCCGTACTACGCTTTCGTTGCCAACTCGCCAGCCCCATCGAAAAAAGATATCCACTTTTGTTTTGTTTTATTAAATATCATATAAAGACGATATAAAACTTTTTTTTGTTTGTTTAACGTAAAGTACTGTTAATGCTGTTTAAATTCAAAAAAAAATTTATACATACATATTTTAGTAAGTCATAGGTATTGTAACGGGCGACTAATACCGTAACGCCGTTTACGCTCACCTAGACTGCGCGAGGAAGAAAGGCCGAAAAGAGAAGGAGGGTGTCATGATGTGTGCGAGAGAGGGAAAGAGGAAGGAGAGACACTTGCAACTTGCAATGCGTATTAGCGCGGGACGCTCTTGGCCATTAGGTCAGAAGAGATTATATAGGTATAGGTAGGGTAAACACGTGCGTCTCTTGCTCGAAAAGCATATATCGCGTCACCAAGGGACAGCCTCGCCGTCAGAAGGGTTCTGCTGAGGGATCATCTACTTGGCGAACGAGCGTAAACAAGAGGCTACGAAAAGCCAGGTAAGCGCAGTGCGTGCGTGAAAGCCGTGGTAGCCGCGTAATCTCTCTCCGCGCCCGATCGAATTATTGCGTGCCGTCGGCTCCGAGAGGAAAGCCTTTCCTTGGCCGGGCGTGCCTTGTAATTAGCGCGATCGAACGATAAACGCACACACATACACACCCAGATGCTTATGTACAAGTGCAATTAATATAGTCTCCGTTCGTATGATTACTAAATGTTTGTGTCTTGCTTTGCGTGAACCCCTCCTTGCATGGAGCCCTTCCGGCTACTCCTCATTTACAAGCTTTATTTAGAGATCGCGACCTCCAAAAGGGAGTTGTAAGCCGAGTACCGGCCTTATCCAGCCGCCTCCGCGGGCTAACGCGTAAACATCGACGCGTGAGCATCCTGAGTTAAGCCAGGGCTGAGCTGGGCCCTCAGCAAGCAGACGAGAACAAGGAAAAGCGGACTCACTGTCCGCGTTGTAACGTGAGTGTGTCTCCGTGGGTACCCGGGAAGCACGGTCCCGGTCAGAGTACTCCTTGCATAAATTCGTGGCTATCAGAGCCGTAAGCGGATACTGGCACCCCGTTACAGTATTTAAGGATTTATTCAAGTGCAGATACATCGTAAATAATGTTTTTAATTTTAGATTCAAAGTTACAAATAACAAGTAATCTTTTCCAGATAATTGTACAACGCATAAAATGATAATTTTTCGAAGAAATATAAGGGTCATTTGTAACAAAAAAACATGTGCTTTTTATTTTGCTACATTTTCCCGTAAGATATTTGGTTTCTGTTTATTTATTTTTGTATAAAAAAATCGATGATTTTATTATTTTAAAATACAGTGATTGCAAAATCCAAAATATTGTTGAAAACTTAAGCTCACTCTTATTTTTATGGGTCCAATAAAAACTATCTGAAATATTAATAATAGAAAAATAAGAAGGAAATCGATGTACCTTTGTTATCATTACATTTATCTACAATATTTAGGCAAATCATTTAAAAATACTCACTGAAAGAATTACCATTAATTTAGAATAAATAGTAATTGAAGTATGTTTCTTTTCCCTTAACTGGTTAGTACAACAAAAGTTTTTTTTTTTCTTCATTGTTTTACCATTCCCTATTGACACCATGACTCAAACCCGTCGACTTGACCCTAATATTTCATGGAGCATATATATTCCTATGGCGCAAGGTTGAAACGTTTTTCATAATTGACATGAATTTACAGTCTCTCAGCAAATAAATTTTTTATTTACCTTTTATACTTTTATCAATTAACCTAAGATATCAAGACTTAAAGCCAATAAGGTTACCAAAGTATAAGTAAACACGTAACATATATATCTTGATGTCCCATATACAGACAAACAAACAAAAAACTAAAATATTTATGCTTGACAAATAAAATTTTTTAAATTACAAATTTTAGTTTTGGTCATTTAAAAAATAAATAACTTTAATCATCCGGTGCAACTCCCGTGAAATCTTTTTCATTTATCACCAAACAACAAGGAAGTATATACACACATGTTTCTTTTGATCATCAAAGTCTCGCCACACGTCTTTAACTTTTCTCCTCAAAATTGACGCTTCGAATAAAAGCTCCCATATATTACTGCAACATGATAAAACAAGAGATGCGCCTCGCGCGATCCTTACTCACTAATCAACAAACACGTCAGTTTTCTCACGCGGTGGAACACAAAAACTATATATACGTAAGAAAGAGATAAGAGAGAGAGAGAGAGAGAAAATATACGCTACAATCAATTAATTAGTTATACATAAAATATATAGTTGCTCAATTAAATCGTCCGCACTATATTTGGCTCGGTTCAGGGGGGGTAACTGCGGAAAAGGACTGCACGATCGTCGGACACTGCCGCAACCGATACACAGTCGTGTTGATTTTTCCTCTTCTTGTCATTGGCGATGGTCGTGCGTCGTCAGGGACACATGATGGTCGCGAGGGACGGAAATATCTCGGCTTGGAGCGGACCGTAGTCGACCCTCTCGCCGTCAACGGTGAGCAAGCCCGTAGTCTGATCCTCGGCCGGCTCGATTCTGAACGCACGCACCGGTATCATCTCGACACCCGGACAGGACAGGTGCGAGCCCGTGCTAAAACCCAGTAGGAACTGCTCGACAGAAACGTGTTTTTTTTTTTTTTTAATTATGATGATGACTATAAATAATAATAATAATTATTACAAGGTATAAACACCTGTAACAGATTCGTCCGACTGATGCCTGCCTTGATGATCAGCAGCCAGATAATGCCGTCGTCGAGTTTAGCTCTCGGGGCGAATAAACAATCCTGTCCCAAGTGCGACTGATACGCCGCTTGTACCATCACGAATTCACCTGCCGACGATCATGTTAATGTGCCATTTGTTAATTTTATCTCGTTACAAGCCTCTGTCGTATAATATATTTACCTTCAACTTTGATCCAAGAGTCGGGCACTTTGGTCGTCAGAGCCGGCAGCGTCGAGGGCGGTCCGTAGATGACCTTGCTGCCGTTGCTACCTACGTCCACGTCTAAAGTTGCAAAACAAGCTTGGATGAAACAACGAAAAGGACCTTATTGTATCAAACGTGGTGTACGTATGAGGCACTCACTCGAGTCCGGATCGTCGCGATCGCCAACGCTGTGGTAGGCGCTCGAGACGGAGCCCGAGCCCGTACTGAAGTACGTGGACTTGCGCGAGGTCGCGGAGAAGAAACTGTCGCACCTGAGCCTGCTCTCCGCCGTCTCTAGCTGCAGGGCCTCCGTTCTCACATCGTCGGTCTCGTCACCGTCCACGTCGTACATACCGTCCTCGTGGCCGTTCACGTCCCCGTCCAAGCTCCTCGACTCCCTTATGCTGCTGTACCTGCAGTTTGTTCGGACGATTCACGGATAATCCTTTATTTCTATATAGGTACATATATAGTATTTGCATACCGATCAAGCTGATCGCCGTAGCTCTTGGAGTGTCCGATGACAGTAGTGTTGTTGTTGTTGTTGTTGTTGTTGTTGTTGTTGTTGTTGTTGTTGGTGGTACCCTTGTGCTGGCCATTGGCAACGGAGTCGGAGCCACAGGGCAGGTAGGAGACGACGCCGCGGTAGGTGCGCAGCCCAATGAGCCGAGCCAAGCTCCAGACGGTGAACCGTTGGCCGCCTATGGCGCGCAATCGCTCGCTCTCGATGTCGATGTCGGCGAGCAGGCCCCAGCCGACCGAGAGGAACGAGTACAGGATCTGTTTGCGCGTTTCCACCCGCACCAGGTCCATTTTGCTCGTGTGGCGACGCACCGCCGCCAATGCGCTTATCAGCATTGGATTCTGGTCGAACGGCTCTCTGACCGACGCGCATGTTACATTTAAATGTGTGTATTCCATATAATATGTAATCTAAGGGTGTTTAATTGTCCAAGATATTGTTGTATATTTATAAAAGGGGCGACGATGGTTGGGTATAGCTCGCGAGATCGGTAAGAAATACTCTCAAATTCGAGCAATAATATAGAGAGTATTATTATTATTATTATTATACAACCAGACTTGAATGTATTGTTCGTATGGTTATATTATACGTTCGTACACCTATGTAACATTGGGATTCTAAAGAGAAAAATCATGTGCAACAAAAAAGAAATATCATCGTTACGAGCACGTATGTCACGAATACTCGGTTAAAATTCATTGGTTCCCGTGCACGTTTAGAAAAATGCCTTTTACTTTGGCCACGGCGATCGGGCCCTGCTGCTGGAAAATCAAACTAGTTTTGCATTCCAGCCCGTCGCATTAATCACTGTACTGTGTCAAACGGTAAAAAAAAAAAAAAAAAAAAAAAAAAAAAAAAAAAA